ATGTTGCCAAAAAGAGATCAGTGAAAGAGTTTGTTGAAGAAATTGGAAAGGTTATTAAAAAAAATCCAAAGCTAACTAATAATATTGTTTTGTGTAATAATAATTGTATGGCCTTAGAAAATATGTATAAAAATATTGATCAAAAAAGTGAAGTAACCAAGGAGAAAATCAAAAATGCTGTGATGAAAGGATCTTATACTTTTAAAAGAGATGCTAAAGGAGATAAATGTAATGCATTAATGACATACACATCTGACAAAGTTCAAAAATCATCTTACACCTTTAATGATCTTCAAGATTTACGTGGCCGTGCATTATTGATTGCAAAACCAACTGTGGTAAACCTTAATCTATCAGTTGAGAATGCATTGGAAGATGATCAAAATATTAAAAATTCCATGGATGTGTTTGTTGAACAAGTTGATGTGGCTCAGGATATAATAAATTTTTCATCAAAACTTGTACAAATTGGACATTTTGAATTCAGGAAATTTGATGTGACTGTAAAGGGAACAGATAAAATGAAAGAATTATTAAAACAATGTAAAGAAAAATTAAGTGAATGGTATGTAAATCAATGGTTATATATAGTTATAATTAAACTTGCTTAATAATTATCATTTATAAATAATATAATAGGGAGGATATCATGAACAAAGCACAAGAAAATCATTACTATTTAACATTTTTCCCTGGCCGACACATCCTTACATTCTATGATTATTTTTCAAATGTCAACAATCCTAATGTGATTGAAGAATGTCAAATACTTATTCGATTTGTAAATAGAAGAGCTGAATTACCTTCTGATAAAAAGATCATGGGGATTTCTTCTAAAAAGAATAATTACTATGATATCCTCTGTGAAATTGGTAAAAAATTACAACTTATTTTTGAAAAACTTCCTAAAAAAATTCGTCAGGTCAAAAATATAGATGATCGTGTAATGTCAGATGTTGTACTTAATGGCAAATTATTTGTGGCAGCTTGTGATGAGAAATTACGTGTTCCAAATATCATTATGTCATTATATGCTAATAACAGATCACACCCTGAACCATGGCAACTTTTAATATGCACACCTTTAACAACCTCAGAAGAATTAACAATTTTTATTAAGCGTTGTTTTTTTGCAGCAAATAATGGGCATAAAGATCATTTGTTTTGCATAGCAAATTTGGAATTATTAGATTTTGAATTACAATATAACTTGGTTAAATTTATCAGATTGATGTGTAAACGTGAAAAAAATTATTTGTTGGCATTGATTTGTTGTCGTGAGCCTGGAATACATCATCACATTTTAGATCAATTTTCACAAGATGTATGTGTAACTAATGGGCTGAATACTGAATCAATGAAAACAATATTCCATGATTTGTGTCCAAATGTGACTTCTTTATCTTCAGATCTTTCTGGGCAAGGAAAAACAGAATGGATTAAACAAGACAGTTTTGAAAAAGGAAAAGTTACTTGTAGTCTTTTAATCAGTGATGGTTTAAATTTTAGTAAGCTTGTTAGTCAGCTTAAAGAATGTAAATTACGAAAAGTAGAAAGTTTACACTTGAACATTGTTTCAGCTGAAAACCCTAGTGAAGTAAACATGTTTCTTTTTGAATTATTAATTTTAGGAATAGTTTCTAATAGTGTAGATATAGCTATTTTACCTGCAACTGAAATTTATATTGAGGTAGCTTCAACAACTGAACAAAAATTATTAAACTCTATGCCAATTACTAGTTATTTGAGAAGGAAACATTTGTCATGGGACATCAATAACCTTGTAATATCTCAAGAGATCAACAGTCCAATTCAAATAGTATGTCATTATTTAAATGCATTTGATCGTAAGGCTATTGAAGAGATAGATATTCTATTCAAGACTGACAAAAAAATTACAGTTCCTTTGCCTGCAAACATGTGTCATGGACTTATTACAAAATATTTCTTTAATCAAAATGCTGATGATGTTTCATCATTTAGATTTATAGAAATTTTTGTGAATGTGTTTGCTGACCAACTAGTAAGATTTTCTTCAAGTCAATACTTTCAAGTTGAAAATCTTAAATTAATGGTAAAAGAAAAAAATATTAGATCAACTTTATTTGATACACTACTTGAAATATCAAAGGATTTTGCAACCAAATCAATCAAAACTAAAGCTGCTCAAGTTCAGAATGAAGTACTTTTAATGGGTTGAAGGGACTGGTTTCAGCCAACCCAACTAAATATTTAAAGAATGTTAGTATAATTTTAATAAATCAAAATCAAACCTAATTTTGTAAAAAAATTAATAAAGCACCTTCATCCAATAATACAACACTGATTACAGGAAATTCTTTTCTACTTGTATCTTGATATTTATTAGCCTTTTCAAAAACCTTCAAGATACCTTCTGAAGTGGATGATGTAGATCCTTGATGTGGAATGAGATATACCTATAAAAAAAAAAGTTTTTAATAATAAAATAACTTTATGATGAAAATTTTTAGGTAGTAAATTATATTAATACCTGGGGCAATTTTTTGAAATAAGGATCATTTGAATCTGCACCACGTAAATTTTGACTCACAAGCCTTACAGCCAAGGATTTTGAAGATCTATTAAACAGATGGTCGGTTAATAATATTCACCAATATAAATCTAATTATATTTTTTTTTTTCAAAAAATAAAGATAACTAACCCAGGTGAACCAATAATGAATACTGGGATTTTGGTTAACATGCACACTATCATAACCAAGACATTTTCTAACAATGCTTCATTAAAAGCAGTATTTGGTGGACAAATCATCCTTTTTATATTATCTTCTTGTTCTTCTCTTAAAATCAAATCAAATGATTTTAAATCAAATGAGGTGACATATTTACTAAATATTTTTACAACTTCTTGCTTGTATTTATAACGTAATTCTTTTTCATATAATCTGGAATGATAACATAATCCAAGAGCTAAGATGTATGAACGCATAAGCAAACTTGGTTTCCCTTTACCAACTTGTGGATATTTAACTGGCTTCTCTTTTTCACCAGGGTATCGTTTTCTAATTGGTCTATCTTTGAGATGTTCATAAAAGAATTTTATAAGTTTTATGGCCCTTTTTACATCACGTAAACTAACACTATATGGCTCTTCAACTTTTCTGATGAATTGTTGTGATGCAAATAAAAGTTCAGTCAATACTTGATGATTTAACAATTCTTTGGGGAGTTGGTCTTGTAACATTATATGAATATATTTCTTTTCATCTTCTGGTTGAAGCACACCATAATCCCATACATAATCCAAAATTTGATCAGGCAATGGTTTCACTTGATAAACAAGTCTATTTTTTTCATCATATATTCCCACTTTTGTTTGTAAACCAGCATCACTAACACTTTTAGTACGGAAACGATATGGATTACATGCTGAAAAAAGTCGAATATTTGGATGAATTTGTTTTCCTTCAAGCATTCTATGAGCAATAAGGTCAGATAATAGTCCAATATGATTGCAGGTGTTGATTTCATCAAAGAATAACCATGTTTCCTTTTTTTCTGCTTCCTTTTGAGCATCTTTGACAAATTCAATGATTTTTTCTTCTTGAACACCAGCATGTAGATTTAATGCCTTAAAATCAACTTCAACAACATTTGCCAAAAATGCTATCAAGCTTGTCTATTTAAAATTACAAAAAAAATTTTAATATTTTTGTACAATAGTGACAAATGTTTTACAATATTAATTATTTTAAAACAGTTACAAAGAAAGGGCACAAATTTACCTTTCCACAACCAGCTTCACCACAAACAATTACTGGAATATTTGCACGAGCTCTTAATAGTATAAGTGCCATCTTAATTAAATTGTCAGCAGAGAGTGCATAATCAGGATATTTAATAGGATGTAAGGTTCTTCTTGCAAGACCTTCTAATCTGTCTAGAAGAATTTTTGATTCCAATTGATTATAATCATCAAGCTCATCCTTTTTTTGTCCAACTGATTGACTCTTCAACAACATCTTTACATTATTTGGAACCTTTGCTTTATCACGATATAGAGCACAAATTGAGTCAGGTGATTGTGACATGAAAAATACAAGTAGATGATTTGATTTTATTGGTTTTATCAAGAATAAAATTATTTATAAACATATTTTAAATACATTTAATTAGACCTAAATTTGGTTTGGATGACTTAGTTGATACAGCACAACGTTTATTAATAAACAAAAATATTAAAAGAGCAGCTTTAAAACCATTAGCTGTGGCATATTCTGAATATGAACAAAATGGGCAAACGTTCCCAAATTTCCATGGTCTTCGAGATTATTATGCTTTGGTTAAAAGTCTTTCATCAAAAGAAATGACTACTGATAATATTCAAATGGCATTAGCACGTAATTTTGGTGGAACTGGAGAGCATGAAGAATTATGTGAAAAATACTTTGGAGAAGTACTGAATGCATTTGATAATCATCAATTTAGAATTTATAAACCAATACCTGTTTTGAATTTAATTAGGGAAAATTTTGATGATAAAAGTGCGAGACATTTAATGGTCATAGGAAAAAGTGAATCAATAGTAAATATATTAAACTTTGAATTGCGACAAAAACAGTTGGATCCTGTTATAATATTAGGTTCACAATTTCCTGAAGATCAAGATGATTACTCGTATAATATTTTAAATAGGATTATGGTAGGTTCAGAAAATTATTGTTATTTTTTTTTATTGTTATTTAAATTAATCTTATTTGATATTTGATATTTTTATTTAGATGTGTGTTGAAGCAGGAAGACCATTGATTTTGACAGATTTAGAAATCATTTATGGCAAGTGGATTTTTATTTGAAATCTTTCTAATAACAATTCATTCATTTAATATTTTTAATATTTGTTATAATCACAGGAAGTCTTTATGATTTGTGGAATCAAAATTATATTGTTATGGGAAGTAATGATGATCCCAAGTATTATACTAGAGTTGCATTGGGTGCATATGCAAATCCGATGTTGTATGTATGATTGATAAATAGATAAATAAATAATATATATTATATTATTTTTTATTAACAAAAACATTAAATAAATATTATCTTGTATTTTATTAGGTCTGTTCACAATGACTTTAGGTGCATTCTTGTTTTGGAAGAGAAAAAATTACATACAGCAGATCCACCACTTTTGAATAGATTTGAGAAGCAAAGATTAATAATTAATGATATATTGACAGATGAGGAATTTGAACTTGTTGCTGAATTGAATAGCTGGGTGAAAAAATTTTCTACAGTTTCAGGAAAAAATATAGGATTTCAATCACACAATAAATTTAAACAACAAGACTTATTTATTGGTTTTGATTCCAATGAAACCATACAAAGTTTGATTATAAATATAAAAAGAAAATATCCAGATGATGACAATGAAGAAATACTTGAAAAATGCAAAGAATGTCTTGTTGCTATAGCAACTTCGGATGGTATGGTTAGATCTGAAAATTCTTTATTAAAACATGAAGAGATACTTAAATGGAAAGAATATTATTTTAAAATACAACATCATGATAGTCTTTTTGACTATTTTAATGCATTATTGAAACAAAATGATCCATATATGCCAGAAGCAGAAGGAAAACAAGTTATTGTTAATACATTTTCAAACATTAATACTGATATAGAAGCTTGTCTGTCAAATAAGATCAGTTGTCAAGTAGATAAACTTTCAACATTTAAATCTGAAACACAATTTCAAAATAGAATCAAACATTTTTGGCAGGAATCTGATAAACAAATATTCATTCTTCAATGTGATATAACAACTGTCAATGTGGGATGTATTAAATTAGCTAAATTTATTATTGAACAATTACGTGGAGAATTCTTAATTAAAAGACACAATAGCAACAACAAAATTCCAATGAAACATATGCATGTATAATTTTACACATTCACCATGAGCAAGAAACACCTTTTAATTTCATGTGTGGATGGGAGCAAATTACTATTGAAACATTGCAAGTCCAAGATAAACCTTTATCCAGCCTTTTTGGAAAAATCTATGGCTGATATTATCAATACTATATATCCATTTGAAGATATCTTGAAACAAGAATTATTATGGTGTTTATCATGTATGGAATATCCTCATTCACAGAAATCATTAGATCATATTAGGTATGTATTTATTTATTTATTTATTTAAAAATTTTAGTAATTGTTTTTTTAAATAATAATGTGTTTTTATTTTAGGGTTCTAATTACACAAATTCCAAATAATAAAAATCTGGTCACATATTTAAAGGACAGAACACAAAAATGGTTGGAAACAAATCCTGAACCAGATTGGCAAAACAAAGTTGCATCAGACAAAAAACTTTTATACCCATATTCTTCATTTTCAGGTGCATTACAAGCATATTTACGTATCATTATTCGAAAACCAATTGCAAAACTTTTATGTGCAATTGAAAGGTTATCAGCAACCAGTACCTTATTTTTGATTGATGGAATGCAATCTCAGAATCTACTTGAGTTCTGGATAAAATGTTTTATGGATCAAAAAATTGTGAACATTGATGAAATATCAGATCCTAAGCCAGATGGATATAGTATATCTGTAAATAATTATAATCTTGAACTTCCATTTTCATTTTGTTTTGTGAAAAGAATTGAATCATTTAAAGAGTTATTTGAAGAAGAAATAAATCAGTACAATGATAATGAGGGAAATATTGATCCTAAGACTGGAGAACTTTACCATCATTTTTTCAATGGTTACATAAAAGGCTTTTCAATTATTGTTAAAAATTCCATACCATCATTCAAACAATCTTTATTAAATTTATACCCACATTTGTACTTCAATGATTTTGTTAAGTTAATTTCCTCTGACGATCCTGCTGGTTATGAAAATTTGGCATCTTTACTTACAAAACTTATAGGGGAAGAGCAAATTTTGGATACAGTTTTTTTACATGCATATTTGTGGAGGAATGCAAAGACTGTTTTAAATGAATATCAATCAAAATTTCCAAAGGTTAAGATAACAGATTGTAATAACTCTGAATCTTTTGAGCATTCACAAGTTAAGGAGATGGTAAGGGTCATATTATATTATATTAGTGAATTACAAAACTTGACACATAATATTTTTGAACAATGGCAACATGATGTTAGAAAAGTTTTATCACTTGGAATGAAAGTTTTGAAAGGCCAACAATTACTTTCTCATCAAATGCTAAGTATTTGTAATGATTTCGCAAATACTATTCTAATGTCAAATATAAAAGAAATAATTGAAATTGGAAAGGAATCAAATGAACAAGAAATTCCTTTAGCTGATTTTATTAACAAGGTCTTTGATGTTCTTTACCAAATTGAACCAATTGATAAATATTCAAGTATTAATGATGCTTATAAAGAAAAATTGACATCAGAGCAAGAGAATGAAATTGCATCTGTGGTTTGGTTTGCTAATAATCAACAACACCAACCACAACAATCAACAATGATGATTGATCAAAGGGCAAAAATACCAGCAGATGCACTTATTGTAACATTGAAAAGATTTATGTTAAGATTTTTGTCTGCAGAGTCAAAAGATTACTCAAAACATCTATTGAGTATTTATTTAAAAAATGAGGATTTATATTTCTGGCCATTAGGAATTGATGAAGCAATAATTGGATTGTTTCCAGATACATTATTGGTTTCACATACATTTGCTACATATGAATTCTGTGTGCAAAGATCAAATATCAAAAATAAACTGGACAAGATAATAATCCAGCAAGAAAGGGCAAAACAGATTTGATAATATGTAAACACAACATTTTTTTATTTTTTTATTTATTATATAAACTTTTAACATTTTGAATTTGTTAAAATTATTGAAAAGTAAACCTTTTTAAGCATGTGTTCTTCCTACATTTTTTTCATTGAATAATTTCAAGCACTTGCATAAGAATTATAAAAAAAATTTATTTGACTATTTCAAAATGAATGATTAATTTAATTTAATTAATGGAAGAGAATCAAAAAGAAAAAATTAATTTTAATAAATTATGCTCTATTATAATGAAAGCTATAATTAATAATGATATTTACAAAAGCGTTTTCCATTCCTTTTTGTTTCATTATTTTTTTTATTAATAACGAATTATGAAGGCAAGAAAAGGTGGAATCAATGATCCAATTTATATAATTGTAATATCAGAAATTTATTTTGCAGTATTTTTTGTTTTATCTGTAAAAGAAAGTTTTTACAAAATAAAACGAAATCTTTATTTATTATTATATTTTGTAGGAAGAAGGTGACAATAGAAATGGTTCGATATATACATCTTCATCACCGCCATCATCGTTGCCAATATCAACACCAAAAACAATTTTTCCAACACCAATATTAGCATCTTCATCTTCTTCATTAACAGAACCGTTATCGTCATCTTTACTAACAACAACAGCATCTTCTACTACTAATAGTATTAATAGTTCATCATTTGTAATAAAATTAGAACCAGAAGGAAATGAAATTGAGAAAATGAATCATACAATTAAGGTAATTTAAATAAGTGGTGTTGGTAGAGAAAGATTGATTAATTATCTGCTTGAACGTGATTCTTTAATTTTCAAATTTTAAATAATAATAAAAGCAAGAAGAAATCGATATTTCTTTATTACCAATTATTACATCAAGAAGACACGCTTCAACACCTTTATTTTACAACAACAAGAATTCATCATCATCTTCGTTACCATCATCATCTGTTTCTAATTCTTCTTCTTCTTCACTATATCCATTACCATCATCGCTTTCTTTACTAAACACAAACAATACAAATCGTTGGAGCCCACATGATGATTCTCGATTATTAACAGGATTGGTTGAATTTGGTGGTAAATGGGCTTTGATTTCTAGAAATCATTTTAATGGTAACAAATCATCTATTTCTTGTAGAAGAAGATTTGAAGCATTATCCAGAAAAATTCTTCAAAGAAAAAAAATTGATTAATGGGTGGTGACGAAGAAGGAATATTTTTCTATTATGTTTTTTATTTTAATAATATATATAATAAAATAAAGAAA